ACAGTTGAACATAATGACGGGATCTTTGTTACATATCAGTACGTGCACACGGTGTAGTAATATAATGTGGCCAATACCGTTCCCCAGCACCTCCCTCCCTTCTCTCCGACCACCCTCGTCCCTTTCCTCTGTTGATCTCCCTTTGATTTTCATGAGATTTACCTCTCCCCACCTTTCTTTCCCTTTTTCCTCTCTAGTTTCCACAAATGAGGGAAAACACGTGACCCCTGACCTTCAGAGTGGGACTTACTTCACTTAACACGATGGTCTCCAGTTCCATCCGTGTTCCTGCGGATGACATAACCTCATTTTCTCTATGGCTGAATAAAACTCCGTGGTGCACACCGACCCCGTTTTCTTTATCCATTCATCCACTGATGGCCAGCCACCTAGGCAGGTCCCCCGGTTAGGCCGTTGTGAACTGTGCGGCTATAAACAGGGGTGAGCACGCATCCCTGAAGTAAGATGCTTTTAATTCTCCAGGGTGGGTCACGTGGTGGCCACACCTCGTCCTTTGAGGAGCCTCCACACTGACCCCACATGGTTGTACTCATTCACAGTCCCACCCAGGTGCTGCCTCCGTCACTTCTGCCATAATTCAAGGTCCTGGGAGTTTACCTCTCCGACCACGTAAGATGGGATTCTTGTCCCCAATCTCCTCAGACCGTCCCTGGTGATCACCAGTCAGGATCCGTCAGTTGGAAGTTTAGCCTTTGTGTGGTCACAGCTCAAAGCGGAGGGTACCCAGGTGACTGAGCACAGCCAGCTGTCACTGGGTCTGCCCCGACGAGTGCCGACTTTGTGCCTGTGTCCCTTGCCCGTGTCCAGGGATCTTTCTGGGGTAAAAGTCAGCTGCCTTCTCCAGCTGGTCCTGGATCCAGTGCAGGCCACGTCTCTCTCTTCCCCCAAATTCAAATCCCCTTCAGGTCCCCCCAACACCTTGGCCCCAAATCCACCTTCCCCGACTTCTCTCCATCTCCTGGTTCTCGGGTCCATGAGCCCAGGAGCCTGGCACTGTCTGTCTCTGCTGGTCCTCCTACAGTCCGCTAATAGAGATGGTCCCTGCCTTCATGGATTCGGACACAACCTGGACAGCATATTATACATGACAATGACCCCCTCCCAGATTATCTCCTGAAACTCAGGCTGGAACTTCGCTAGGCCAACCTGAAGATGAGGGGGCCACTCTAAAGCACAGGGGGCTTTTCCCCCCACGCTGCCGTCTCATTGTGTCCGCGGATCTCACTGAGCCGCTACGGCCCTGCATCTGTGTTTTAGCAAAAGAAGAAGAAACAGAGGCCAATGAAAGCATCGATAGGCAGAGAGAGAAGAGGGGAGGGGAGGGGAGGGGAGGGGGGATAGTAGAGGATAGGAAAGGCAGCAGAACACAACAGACACTAGTATGGCAATATGTAAATCAATGGATGTGTAACTGATGTGATTCTGCAATCTGTATATGGGGTAAAAATGGGAGCTCATAACCCACTTGAATCAAAGTGTGAAATATGATATATCAAGAACTATGTAATGTTTTGAACAACCAACAATAAAAAATTTAAAAAAATAAAAAAAGAAGAAAGCATGGATAGGGACGATCGCTACGGCTTCACCGCCTTACCATGGAAACCGAAATGGAACCAGAGCAATGGAGGTCGTGTGTCGACCTTGCACTTGCTAAGAGCAGGGAGGGTCAGGGAGGACGCAGGGCAGCCCAGAAACGCCAAGGGAGACGTCAGGAAGGGTCCCTGTGAGACGGGGTTAGGATTTTTTCCATTCCCTGGGAGTGAAGCCCCTTGTCATTTGCACAGTCTTGGACTTCCAACAGTCAAGGCAACGTGACCAAAAGATGGGAACTGCCCAGGAGCCCAGAGCCTCGTGATGGCTCTTGTGTTTTCTGAACAGACTTTGATTTTCACATGAAGTAGGAGGTGGTTCACCCACAACTGGGCCCGACCTGCTCGGGATGAACAGCTCTTCCCAAGTTCATGACCTCAGCCCCCAGAGAACACAAGGGTTAGAACACAGGTGTCCTCTCTGCCAGATCCAAGAGTCCACACAGCAGGGCAAGGGCCTGGAGGATACTGTGACGCCACCCTCCTGAAGCCAGGGCACAGAGATAGATGGGACGCGTGACCTGACACTGCACTGCATCTGGATTGCTGACACCATCCCACCTCCTCTGTCCCTCTGCCCCCCCTGCTCCCCTCTTCCAAGGCAGCTGTGACCAGCAGGCTGACCTGGATAACCCAGCATCCTGTCCCCATCTCGCTTCTGCCAAGTCCCCTTTACCAAGAAGGGAGCACATTCCCAGGTTTGGGGGCTGGGACATGGTCGTTGTGGGGAAGGGGCTGTTCGGCCTACAACCTGACAACAGTTCTGAAGCCCCGCGCTGTGCCAGGGCCTGGTCCTCCTCTTGGGGCCTTTGCAGAGGTGGGCTCAGCAGACATCAGGGAGCCCAGGGAGCCCAGAGGGAGGGGGCTTCCACCTAGGAGCAGGCAGACAGAGCTCAGGGAGGCTATTCTGGACACATCACGGTCAGGCTCTGTAGGAGGGACCACGGGGACAAAGGTCCTCATGAGGGGGCCACTGGCGATGTGAAAATGTGTGTCCTGAGGGAAACAGGAAGACCCTGGTACAGCTGGGTCCACCTCATTCAAGGAAGGGCAAGAGGTGTCGCCCACTCCTGGAGCACACAGCAGAGCTTCTTCCTGGGGCACGAAGGTGTCTCACAGAGGACAGACGCACCTCGAGGGAGATCTCCAGCTTGAGGGGCCCCAGCAGCCAACGGGAAGGGCGCACGCAAGGCAGGTGAGCCCAGGAAGGCCACCAGAAAGCCGCTGCAGGGCAGCACCCATGGGATGGGTGGTGTGGGAGGGCTGAGGGGACCACGCCATCGAGGGCTCCGTTCTTCCACCACCAAACTGGCAGGTCATCTCCAGGCCCCTCCACCTGCCGCCCCAGTTCTCAGTAGAAGGGCCCAGAATGCTGCTTTTTAAGTATGTCATCGCATAGAAGATTAAAAATAGTCTAAAAGAGGAGAGGGATATAAATATCGCCAAGGTTCCAGGCTGCACAGAGAACCCCCCCAGGAGAGGGAAGCAGGAGGGGACGTGACGTCATCAGAGCCCTAGGGGTCCTCACAGTTCCACCTGCGCTCTACAGGAGCTGAAGCCGGTACCGATCCACACTAGAATAACCCAGGTCCTCCTCGGCCTTTAGAGTCCTCGAGGGCTCTGGACCGCAATCGCCAAACAGCGGCGGATCCCAGCACTCAGGAAGGCAGATTCAAGAGGACCCCTGACTGCATGGCTCCCTCTGAGCCCTGTCCCCACACTCCTCTGCCTTTGACTAGACTCCTAGTGGATGAGCCCATTTTTAAATCAGGTACAGAATGTCCCCCAGGCACACAGTCAGCCCTTCGGAATGAGGCTGGGCCATGTCACACACGGCAAACACTCCCTACGGTTGTCACCAAGGGCCCTGAGTCTGGGCTTAGAAATACAGTTGCCACCATCCTACAGGAAGCCTTCCACACTGCCACATTCCGAACAGAGGCCTCCAGGGCTTCCAGATGCTGTTATCCCACAAGGAGGCTGGCCACCTCACCCGCAGACCCAGCCTCCTGGATCCACATGCACAACCCATAGGTGTTAAGATGGTATCAGGGCCTCACCCAGCATTTCTTCTGGATGTAATCCAACAGGCTAAGGCAGAGAGAGGGCAGGTGTGGCCACAGTTCAAAGCCAACACTTTTGTTCTGAGACCTGAGGCATCTTGGTGGCCTCTATCCTGGGCCACTTCCAAGACAGAGCAACTGACTTGGCAAAAAAACGCTTACCTAACAAATCACAGGGCTGGCCCCTAAATTAAACACACAACACACACAAACTCTGACACACGCACGCACACCTTTCCTTCACTGAGAACGTTTCGCTAAGTTTCTGTTTCTTTCCTCCTTTTCTGCACAGCGCCAAGTAGTAAAGATATGGGGTTTTGTGCCTACTTCCCTGTCTCAACAATCAACTCTGTCCTAGAGCAAAAGTAGCCATTGACAGTATGCAAATGAGTGGACATGGCTGTGTTCCAATAAAACTTTATTGACAAAAGCAGGCAATGAGCACATATAGCCTCCTTGGACCGAAGGGTGTGAATCCTCCTCTGATAGAAAAAAAATGAAGGGAGACTCACCAGGAAGGGGGGGGGGGAACTGACAAAGATTCTTTAATGTCACATTTATGATTTTGGCTCAGCTGTCTCTAATTCCTTCTGTGACTGACACAATGTACCACTATTTAAAAAAATGGAAAAAAAAAAACAGGCATGAAGAGAAGAAATGAAGAAAGGTTTCTATGGGAACAGGGAGTTCATTTTTAATGGCACGATCACTTCAGAGACAATCGCTGATTTTCCTCTCTTCCCCTCGACGCAGGGCAGGCGTGACCTATGGCCTGTTGGTGGGAGGGCTTTGCCCAGAGCCTCTGCTGCTCTAGTCAAATATTAAATGCCAGAGTGTCCCAACGTCAGGGAGGGCAGTGGAGGAAAGCCGGGCCACTGGGGCAGAAGCCCACCTCCCCAGTGGCAGCTCTGGTCTCAGGCTCGGCTCCTCGGTGACCGCCTGGCCTGGGGCAGCGTGGGGCATCAAGGCCACCATGAGCTGCAGCTGCTGCTGCTGGGTGATGCTGTGGTGTAGCCTCTTCCGGGCTCTGCCACCAACGGCGCCAGGGCTCCCCTCTGGCTGCTGACAAACCATTTGCGAGTGGGGCTTGTGTTCCGCCTGGCCCTGAACCTGTCGCTGCCTGGTACAGACAGTCAGGATCCCTGTTTGCGGAAGGTGGCCGCGTCACTAACCTCCCTGGGCACTTTCAACTCCATCCAACTTGATCAGCCAAGGACAAACCAAGAACGCAGGCCATTTGCCACTGTGTCCTTTAATAGTAAGGCCTTGTCACTGTGGCTTTTACTGCACAGCCCCCTCGGTGGAGGTGAGTCTCGGCACTTACCAGTGGAAAGATTCCAGGAGAGCAGCCAGCCATGGTTAGCGGGCCAGGGCCACATGCTGGGGTGGTGCCAGGGTCCAGGGAGCAGATGGCTTTGAGTGGGCACACTCTGCCCAGGCCCTGCCTGGGGGTGGACTGGAGCCCCTGGTGGTCCAACGCTCTCACTTTTCAAATAAGGAAACTGAGAGGCACAAGTGAAAGGCTTTCCCTGGAGCCCACAGCAAGGTGGTGACGAGTCCAGGACGCCCCCCGCCCAGGCCTCCTGGTGTTGGCTGTGGTTCTGCCGATACCAGCTGCTCAGTGCCCCATCTGGAGTAGCCCCAGGAAGAATCCACACTAGCACAAGGCCTGCCATCTACGGCACAGATGAACTCAAAGCCTGTGGCCTGACTCCAGCTGGGACCAGGGGAAAATCACAGGATTCGTCCCTGAGAACCAAGCACAGGGCCCCAGGGGCAGCGCCCTGCGCAGCGGTTCCTGAGGACATGAGACCTCTGCATCTGATTTGCTTTTGAGTTTTCAACAGAAACCTCCAGTGCACTTGCTGTGCCCTTCAAGAGCCAGGGAAGCGGGGGCGGAAAGGTCCCCTCAGGCTCCTTCCCTTCTTTGGCCTGGTCCCAGGTCCCAGTGCCGCGTGCACTAGTCTAGCGACAGGGAGGGTGCTGAGGGCGGGGAGTGGGGGTTGACAGGTAGATATGGGAAAGAAGACCATGACAGTACTGATTCTGGGTGGACCAAGAAGCCACCCAGGTCCCCACTCTTTGCTCTACCTCCCAGGCTGGGCAGCTCTGCTGCAGGCCGTGAGACCCACTGAAGCATGTAGCAGGGATGCATCTGGGCAGGATTGGGGTGGACAGGAGGAGGTGAAGCAAGGCCCAGAGCCTACAGAAGTTGCTGTGGAGGCCCAGCCAGCACCAGGAGGGCCTGCACCCCTCCCGAGCCAGCGCAACAGGAAGAGGAAACCTGGGCTCCCACTGCCCTGCCTGGGAGCCAGTGAGTCCCCTCCATCAAGCCTGTGGTCAGCCTTCAAAGTCCTGACCCGACACCTCCGGGCGGTCCTCACAATTCCCAGGTTAGCAGTGCTTTACCTGGGTGCCCAGGGCACCTGACCCACAGGATGAGACTTTGGTTAGTCTCTCCTGGGCTCAAATCCGAGCTCCACTTACAAGTCACATGATCTTGGTTGGGTGAACTCTGCCTCAGGTGCAAATGTTGCTTAGAGAACAGCAGCCAGAAGTCCCCAGACGGCAACAACGGATGCTCCCGTGGGACTCCCAGAGCAGCCAAGGAACAGCCTCATGTCTGCTCAGCACCACCTCCTTCAACTCACCTCCCACCTCCAGGTCCAACGCGAGCCACTCAGGTAAGAAACAGATCATGAATTGCAACATCAAACCCCCAACTACTAGAACAGGAGAGGGCCGAACCAGAGCCAACCTCTGTGCTCTTAGGATCAGAAATGCAGAGCCCGCTGGCCAGATGCTGGGACAGTTTCACACTCCCTGAAGGCAGAGACCAGAACCAGCTCCTCATTCTCCAGGGTCAGCAGGATGTGATGTCTTGGCACAGTTCACCTCCACTAGACAGAGAAGGGCAGTGGATGTGGGGGGTGGCGGAGGTTCCCACGTGAGCAGGAGCACCTCCAAATCCTGACCCAACACCCCACCCTGCTCTATAGTAGAGCCAGCCCAGGATGGATGCAGTGCTCAGCTGGACCAAGGGGCAGCCAAAGGAGCCTTGTCCTGGGAAGGACAGTGGATCCCTCCTGTCCTCAGCCCACAGGAGACTAAGGCACAGATGTGCTAACCATCCACCTCTATGCCAGATTTACTCCCACGAAAGCAGACACCACCCGGGAAGGCTGCTGCCTCCTGCAGTCCCATCTTCTTTTCTCTAGAAGGGTCAACAGCTTGGGCCACCCCCATTTACTTGCAAGAGACCCTGTGAGGGTGGCACAAGCAGTCTCTGCGCAGAGGGACATGGTGCTCTGCCAGAAAGCCCTTGATCCAAACAACTTTATGAGCCGTCCATCTAAAAGCATCAATGAGAACTGCATCTGCTGTGTGTCCTCCTAGACAGAAGGCGGAGGGACAGGCCTCCTGGGAAAGCTCATGCTTCCTGCCCCGCGGAACTGACCTCCCGAGACAGATCAGGAGTCTTCGTTCTGAGTTTCCTGGGGGATGAACTTCTGCATCACAATCACAGCTGCCTAGATTCCAGAATCCCACCGTTCAGGGGGCAGATGCAGGCCGGCAGACAGAGACAGAAAGAAAGAGATCTCTCAGTAACCCATCCTCCCCTGAAAGGCAGTGTCGGGAGGCTCGAAGTTCAGAGCTGTGTCTGATTACTGACCCCAGAACCACCCTGTCCCAGGACCAGCAGAGTCCAAGCTTTCGGAAAAGAATCAGGACCCCCAGACCCTGACGGCTGCACTCCTGTGATTACAGACTCCAGGGCTCCCGCTGAGCTGAGCCTCCATCACCATAACCGCAATACAGAAGGACATGGGGCTTCACCTGCCTCCCCGGCCCACCACCCACACAGGTTCGGCTGCACAAGGCCCCCGCTGGAGGCCCCATCGGACCGCCCAGACACATGGGGGCTGCCTGACGTCTACCAGCTGGTTTTGCAGATGATCTGAGCTCCTCGTGGGGCCTCCTGGACTTGGACCTTTAGGCAGGACTTTCTGAGCACCACAGAAGCATGAAGAGAACATGTTAAGCACCCAGTTAACTGGGAAACCAAGGGGGAAATCTGAAGAACACAGTCCTGCCCTAACTCCAGCCTCTACCCAGCAATGCTGGCAAAGTAGCCAAACCTGACTGTGCGACTCCACGGAGCTAACACCCCTGCTCCCCACAGACACAGTCAAAGGTTGGTATGTCCATACAGTGGAATAGTACTCAATAAGGAAAAGGAAGTACTGACATACGCAAGAGCACAGCTCATACTAGCACAACACTGATGGAAAAGCCAGATCAAAAGAGAATGTACTGCATGACTTAATTTTATATTAAGTTCTAGAAGCAAAACTAATCTTCAGCCCAAAAAAACCCCCATAAACCATCAGAATAGTGGTTACTGAGGTGGGGGTAGGGCTCCTATCTAGGATACTGGAAACCTATATCTTGGTCCAGGTGATTACACAGGTGTTCTCATGCCCCAAAACTTCAGCTTACACTTAAGATTAGTGAACATTATACACGTGTGCAATACATATGTAATAAACATAATGTACACATACACAGTTTAGAAGGTTTTTATGGCAAAGCCCATTAATGTTCAAATGATAACTGACATTTACCTAAAAGTGAGGACACGAGGCCCATTCACAAACTTCAGGACCCATCTCAAATTGTCCCCATCCTGTGCACTAACTAAAAGCACATATTGCTGAGCTTCCCTTCACAAAAACCGATCTTTAAACTGGGAGGTGCTCTTGGAGGACTGCAGGAACTTATTGCATCAAGCATCGGTTAGTACATGCTCAGCAAATACCTGGCAACTGCCTAACACAGTCTACACACACACACACACACACACACATGTGCACACACAGAGCCCAAATTAAATGCCATCTCAGCAAAAGATGACAGTGTCCACCCCTAAATAGGGTGTCTATTCTTCTCAGGCAACAGGATCTAGGCACTCTGCTTATTATCAAGAGGATCGTTTTCAGCATGCTCTGTCCAACCCTCCTCCTTTGACACAAATCACAGCCAGAAGAGATCAGAGGAGTCCAGAGCAAACAGTCTCCGGTGCCCACCCCAGGAGGCTGCCTGCTCCTTTTCAGGTCACCTCTGCCTGCATGGCTCCTGCCCAACCCAGGGGTGGAGCAGGCCCACGTGAGCTCCCAGGAAACTTTTTATCAGGTGTAATGTTTAAACTTGGCTGCTCCCCACCCCCCCCACCCAGCTGGCCTGCTATCCACTGGGGTTCCCCGTGTTCTGGCAGCAATGCCACTGCACCTGATGGGGAAGGGCACCACCCACTGCCCCCCAACCCCTGCCCAGGCCTCCGGCTCCTTCCTAGGCACCTCCACCTTGGACTCTCTGGACCCCGACTTTTGCAGGGAAAGAGACTAGAAACTTCACCTGCACAGGTCGACGTGGGTGTCCACAGGCCGGAAGTGGAATTCCAGCTCCACAAAGCCCACAAATGGAAAGAGAAAGGGCTGAAAGGCACTTGCACCAAGAGAGCTCTCCCTGGGGGTGGTAGGTTGGGGGACAAATATGGATGATTTTCTTTTTCCCCTTCAAGTATTTTTGGGGCTTTTCAAGTTCTCACACTGAATAAACTCTTTGGCAAGACAAACGCGCTTCTCCTGTGGCTCTGCTGCGGTGGCCCGTGCCAGGCGGGCTGCCAAGGCAGGCTGCCCATGGAGTTTTTCTTTCACCTAGTCCCAGCTCCCTCAAGGTACAGACTGGTGCCAGCCTCCGTGCCCAGGTGGGTGCGGGATCCAGGACAGTCCTCTGCCCTGTGCTCCTTGCAGAGAGGCAGCTCCTTGGGAAAGTGGCAGACTTGGACTGGGTGGCCTGACCCCTCTTCTCCAGCCCACCCTCGGGGAGGCGCCCCTCCCCTGCATGACAGGCCCCAGGGCACTTGGAAGTGTGCTGATCCTGTCTCCTGTCCCACAGGCTCCTAAGAGTTGCACTTCTCCCCTCCCTGACCTGGGCCATCGCCCCCAAGTGCCCACGCGCAAACTTCTCCAAAGTCGCAGCTGGAGGGGGGTGGTGACGTCCCCTAAAGAAAACAGGACCCCCTACACACACACACACACACACACACACACACGCCCCCGCCCGGGCCACTGCAGGTCGGGCGCTGGGGCCACTCGGGCTCCGGGGGCGGCGCCCCAGCCCCCACCCGGCGGCAGCGGGGCGCGGTGGGCGCGGGCGCGGCGGTGGCGTTACCTTGCAGGTTCTGGACTCGGATGTCGCTGATCTGTCCGATGAGCTCCTCGCGCTGGAACCAGTCCCATTCGTGCGCAGCCATGAAGCGCGGCGGGCCGGGCGGCGGCGGGCGCGGAGATCGGGCGGCGGGCGCGAGCGGCTCGCACCCGGAGAGGGCGCCGCGGGGCCGGGGCGGGCGGGCGGCCCCCGCCTGGGCCGGGGCGGGCGGCGGCGGCGGGCGCGGGGCGGCGTGCGGCGCCCGGCTGCGCTCACTGCCCCGTGCGGGGGCGGGGCGGGGGCCCCGGGCGCGGGAGGGCGGGGAGGGCGGGGCGGGAGGCGGCGGCCAAGGGCCGGTTCCTTTTTTTTCCCCCCGGGGTGTGCGTTGGCTGGATTGTTGGGTCGCAAACGGGCGGTGATGAGGCGCGGGGTCCCAGCCCCCCAGATTGTGATGTCTCAGGGTGCGGTGGGCCGGGTGACGCAACCGGGGGTCGCCGGCGCGCAGGGCGCAGGACCTGGCCGCGGAGGCCTGACCAGCGCCCCGTCCCACTCTGCACCCCATCCGCGGGCCCCAGCCTGCACCGGAGCCCTGCCCAGCCCTGACCCCGGGGGCCAGGGACAGTGGCAAAGGCCCCTAGTATGGGCCGTGGGGGGCCTTCAAAAGAGGGCCACAGGAGAGGGCGAAGTAGGGGGGAGCCTCCAAAGGGGGCCACCACGGGAGGGGACCTCTTTCCTTGGTTTAGCCCTTGAAGCCATTTCCAGATCAGAGAGGGACCCAAGCTTCCCAGAGAAGCCTAACCTCCTCTCCCACTCAGTCTCCAAGAGTCCCTCTGGGGCCTCAGTAAAAATGTGGACACACCTTTCTGGTTCTTCCCCCCCCCCCCCCCCCCCCCCCCCCGTTTCTTGTAACTCTGGAGAATTCCTGGGTCTTATCACGTTGGGGTCACAACTCTGTGAACTACAGTCAAAGAGCTCTTTATTGGTTGGACACAGAAAGAGTGAGGCCTGGGGGCATGGAATTTGCTGAGAAATGACTTAGGGGCCTGTGCTCAGTGCTCTGCCTGTCAGACATCTAGGGCCTTACAGAAAATGGCTCTCTGTGGAGGATTCCGAGAGGGGGACGTGTGGGCAGGGCCAACATGTGTTGGTCATGGCTGTTGGCGGTGAGCACTGAGTACTGGAAGCTCAGCTACTCATTCCTCAGCCCCTGTGGAGGCTCCTGAGACACAGGCCTGTGTCCTTGAAACAGGCCCTGAAGGAGAGTGAGAGGTCCCCTCAGGTCACCCAGGGTGAGCTCCAGAGAGGGGAAGATCCACTTGGGCTAAGGAGCTGGGGTGGGAGTCAGCAGAGGAGCTAGGAGGACTTTGGAGCTGAGCCACAGAGAGGAGAAGTCCCCCCCTCCTAGGATCCCCCATCCCAGGGGTCCTATCAGGGGCTCAGGCCCTGAGCTCAAGGCCCCCCTGAGGCAGGATCAGACTTTCCACTGCCTAGATTCACACTCACGTGGTCATTTCACCCTGGAGGGAGCAGGTCTGTGTCTGCCTCCTGCAGAGCCAGGGTGGTAGCCAGGCCTCCCCCCGTAGCGCCCTATCTGCTAGCCGTCTTCCTGTTCTTACTCTTCATTTTATTTTCCATAATTGTTACAGGCTGAAGTTGCACCGAAAATTATTCTTCTGGAAAGCAAATGGCCAAGAGAATCAGGCTTCCTCTCCATCATGGGGTGGGAGGCAGGGAGAACCTGGCTTTGAGCAGCGTGTGTGGGCGTGTGTGTGTGGGTACCAGTGGCAGGCTGGGCACTGTGGCTGATTCAAGTGAGGTTCCTGGACATGGGAGGCCTGGTCTTTGGGGGAACATTGCCCAGGTAGCTACAGCTCCTGTAAGGCCAAGATCCTCATCGCTTGAGCACACACTGTATACCAGACATTGCACCCTCCGCCTCAAGGTCTGCTTTTCTGGAAAGTTTTCAAAAGGCATGGGGGCCGCACTGGCACTTTGCACTCCCTACAGCCATCTGAGTGGTGGCAGGTCCCTTAAGAGCCGGGCCAATGGCAGGGCCTAGATCTTGCTGGGGATGTTTTCCTCAGAAGACATTAAGGTAATTCTGGCTCACATGGGATCTCTCTTTGTTACTCACCCTCCTGCCCTGATGCCTCCCCCATGATGTGATGTAGCCGGGGTCCCTCACCAGAGCTGGCACTATGCTATTTGGACTTTCAGCCTCAAAAGCTGTGAGCTAAATAACCCTCTTTTCTTTATAAGTTAACTAGCCTCGGGGATTTCGTTATAGTGACAAAAAATGGGCAAACATACCTGATCACCTCCAGACCTTTGCTTAGCTTGTTCCCTTTGAAATATGTTCATCCTCTCCTGTCTGCATTTATCTTTTCCTAGCTGATTCCTCAGTCATAGCCACCTCAAGAGCACATTTTCCAATGTTGGTTTCTCGCTGGGTCAGCTGAGTGCCTGTCTGGTAAGTATTCACATAGTATTTGGTACTATGTTTGTAATACCCATGAACCCTGCTACCCATGTCTGTACCAGATGGTAATTATGTTTACTTGGTGGTTTTCCCCAGTCATCTGTGAAGTGCTTGAGATCAAGGTTGTGTCTTATTCATTTCTCTATCTGAGCCCTTAGCACAGTGCCTGACATAGAGAGAGTTCTCAATATTGAACAAGTGGATGAGAGACTGTTCCTCACTGTTGGCCTGAGCTTACAGAGCAGGAGGTCAAAACAACCAGCAGTTGATCCTGACGTCATGGACCCCAGTAAACTTGTAGGGAGGTGACCAAAACTTGTTTGCATATTTGCCACGGGCAAAGTACATATGATCGAGGGACAGGCAAATACCGAGATACACAATGTCCCTTCCTTGGGGTGTGGGCAGCCTCCTGGGGGAGGGGTGTGTGGCTTCCACAGGGAACTGGGCACTTGGCAACTTGCGTGAATTAACAAGACTCTTTCTTGTACATTTTTTTTGGGGGGGGGGGGAAGGAAAAGTACTCTGCCCCAGGGCTTGGCTTCCTGGGAGTTTCCAGAAACTGATTTTATAGACATTGCCGGGTTCTTCTAGAATGCTAGTCATTGTTTAAAACCAATTTCTGCCAAGGAACAGGACTGGAGGAGTCAGAACTGCAGAGGATCTGTGGATGGATCTGAGAGATGACTGACTCCAACATCCCCCCCCCCACATGAGGGCTCCTAAACCTCCTGTCTCTGCTTGTGGGGACTAATGAACCGGGGCAGGGAGCCCAGCAGACTGGCATCTGTGCAGCCCACCCCCACTTCAGGAAATAATAGAAACAACAAAGTCAACCCCAGTGTCCCCTTCCAGCCACTTTCCAGGGAGTCCTGTGATGGGGACCAGAGGGGTGCTGCTTTCTTTGGATACAGCTGTGACCCTTTATGTGGGCACTGTCCTGCAGGGTTGGACAGCCCCTCCTCAGCTGGTGCTCATCTGGTCTTCACAGTGACATTGGGAGGTCACAGGGGCCGGGATCCTTTTTACTTGGGGCTTAATCTGCTAAGTAACCAGCCCAGGGCTGCAGAGCAAGGCTGAGCCTGTTTGTCCTGTGGTCTCGCAGCCTGCCCACGGGTCTTCCAAATGTGACTAGACGAGGATGATGCCGTGGACCAGACGGACACTCAGCCTTGTGGCTTAGTCATATGTCTCCAGCATGTTTGTGTGATATTTTTCTAAAGTTTTATCTCCGTTGGAATCATAGCAGTTGTCAGTGTATAAAAACCTTCAGGAATTTCAAATGATGTTAAGATCTTATAATAGGTCCTAGCGAGGTGGACCAGTGTGTATTCTTCAAATAGGTCAAAAGCCTCTCCTGCGCAGGGGTCTGATTATGATGTCACGGGCTGCAGCACGGCAGAGACTCCTGGCCTGGTTTATTCATTCGGCAAACATTGGTTGAAAGTCCAGGTGGCCTGGGTCTATGCTCAGATCCAGCTGTGCACAGGTTCTTGGTGGTGTGGCCTGGCTCCTGACCCAGGTGTGACGTGGTAGTGGCCTTCACCAAGCAGCAGCTGTGGGGGCAGAATCTTGAGCTGTTGGGACAGTGGAATGACAGTGCCTGGGGCTGGTTCAGGAATTTCTCGGCACTCTCCACGAGTACTTCTGCTTCCAGGACCTCCTCATCTGCCATGCCCACTGTTCATCAGCTTTCTGTTACTATCACAAATAACCTTGAGATCATCAACTTATTAACGGAACAAGTTTGCTTTGTTTTACGGTGTTAGAGGTTTCAGCCCGTGATGGGTTGGCTCCTGTGCTTTGGGTGAAGCAGGGCATTATGGCAGGAGAATGGGGCAGAGGAAGACCACTTACTTCATGGCCCAGAAAAGAAAGAGGAAGGAAGGACCCAGGGCCCCACATGCCCTTTGAGGACATGACTCTTAGTGACCTAAATACCTCCCTCCAGGCCCCACCTCTTAAAGGGTCCAGTGCCTCCCAATAGCCAGTACTGCCAGGTTGGGAAACAAGCCTGAACCCCATGGACCTTTAGATCCCCTCACTCCAAGCTCCTGGAGAGTGCCCTGGGAGTGGGCAAACTCATCTTGAATCACCAGAGCACAGACCTAGGCTGCTCCCCAAGTAGTCCTCAATCCATGCTCGCTGCATGCACGAGCAAACAACTCACACTTCATTTTACCAAGTCGTGATTCCTGATACTCATTGAACCCTGGGTGCCTCAGGAAGGTCGGGGTCCCCCGGGTACCTTAAGTATGTCAAGTGCAGCCCGTACGCTGATGTTTTTTTTTTTCCTGTCAAATGTCACTACCAGTTGCCACCTTCCTCCAGGAATCCTGTGCAACATGACATGCCAGCTGGTGTCGGGGGACATGCTGGGCCGTAGAACCCAGCAGCCAGCAAAAAGACAGAGGACATTTCCTGTAGGGCATAGTGGACAGAAGTGGGGGTTCTAGTCTTCCTGTGGCCACATACGAGCTGTGTGACCCCGGGCAAGTTCTTAACCTCTGTGTTTCTCTGTGCCCTCGACTTAAAATGGGACCCACAGCCTCTACCTGGCAGGATAGTATGAGGCCATAGATATGCGTATAGAGAAGAGACGCTTCAGGCAGATTCGGATGGTTTCTGCAGCACCAAACGGACCACATCAGAAGAAGACCTGCCCTGACCGTGGAAGAGTACCTATAATATGGAAGATCAATACTTTCTCCAAGACTTGATTAATCTGTGTGGTGCATGGAGGAGTTGGTGGGTGGTTTAAAGAGATTCTACTTCCCTAAGTAGACAGCACCGGATGCCCCAATTTCCACAAATAAAACCCTTTAGTTCTCCCAGGTTTGAACAGTCAAAGGCTGCTTCCCTGGAGATAGGTTGGTGATATTTGTGTGTGTGTGTGTGTGTGTGTGTTAGGCATTAGAACTTTATTTAAGGAATGTGCATTTGCCAGAGAAGCAAAAGATAAATTGGTTTCCCCCATAAAGAGAGAGTGGCCATGTGAAGATGTGGGAGGGGGAGATGGGAGAGAGAAAACTCCTCCAGGGGTTGTTGGCAACAATTTATATTCTTTAAACATTTTGAAATTAAAAGCAAACTCTGTTGCTGATAATCCCAGGAAATATGGTTTTAAAGTCAGGGGTGGGCTGGTGACACCCGGGGCCTGTCCCTGCCATGGCAGTTCCGCACGGGCAACTCAGTGACGAGTTTTATTGTGCATCTAGTGCCTCCCTGGGCCGCCAACATTTGGAAGTCACTGCTCCTTTAATTCCCCCCACCCCCCAACACACAGCCCTTGAAGGAGGCACCGTTATACTGATGAGGAAACAGGACAGAAAAGTTCCAACGTGTCCCTAAAGCCACTTGAGAAGGGCCTGGAGCCAGATACTGTACAGAAACCAGGTCAGACCTGTGCGGTCCAAGCGGGCCACCTTTGGTGTTTCTGAGCCGGGGCAGGTTAGTAAGTGTGGCCCTTCAAGTTCAAGACCCACTGGGAAGTGCTTGGGCTTTTCTGGCCTCAGGCAAGACCAGACCTCTGGGGCCAGTCACCAGCCAGTGGGGGGAAGGGACTCTGTCTGCCCTCTTCAGGCAGGCGCCTTGCTGGACCCCAAATGCGCATATTTGTGAAGAAGCCTCAGTGTGGCCTTGTGGGATCAGGATCCTGTGTGGCTCCGTGGATGTGTCCGCCTGTGAGCATCCCCAGTGTCCTCACACCCTCCGAGGGGACTGGGACACCACGACACTCCCAGGACACCTCTGTGGTGTGGGCCACCTGTTGTGAACCTCAGCTTCATTGTGTGGCACCGAGGGAAGAAGGGGAGGGGCGGCACCATCCATGCACCCTGCCTCCCTGCACCTGCTGGGCCCCCTCCTCACATCCCTCCCTTGGACCTGGCTGGGCTTCATGGCTGGCCTGGCTCAGAGGACGTGGTGCTAGTCATATTCTGGGGCCTCGGGGACTCCATCACTAGGCTGTGCTGGTCTGCTGAGACACTTGCTCTGGGCCAAGATAGCTGTTGTCAGTTGACAAGCCACTGTGAGGGGCCCCACTGGCTGCCCAGGAACTGGGCTGGGTGGAGGGGAGATAGGGATGTCCCACCAGCCAGATGCTCCAGTCAGCCCAGCCTGGAGCCAGGTGGGGTGAGGACATCTTCAGCACAGGGGAGCTTTGGGACAGCTCCAGACCCGGGAATCATCTGTCTGTCAACACAGGAGACCCCAAAACCGTGGGGGAGTAGACTGTTGTTTTAAGCTGTTGAGTTGCGATTGCACAGATCTCAATACCCAGATCCCACCTCTCCTGCCCATCTCCAGTCTGGGCCACCACCACCTCTTCCTGAGGCTCCCTCTGCCACTGCCTGCCTGCTTCCCTGTCCCCCTCAACAGTCTCTGACCTCAAGAGCGATCTTAAGCTGGGTGTGGTGGGGCAGGCCTGTCATCCCAGCAGCTCAGGAGGCTGAGGCAGGAGGACCACGAGGTCAAAGCCAGCCTCAGCAACAGCGAGGCCCTAAGCAACTCCGTGCGACCCTGACTCTAAACAAACTACCAAATAGGGCTGGGGAGGTGGCTCAGTGGTCAGTGCCCCTGAGTTCAATCCCTGGTACCCCCCACCAAAAAAAAAGAGTGATCTTACAATGTCAGCCAGGCACATCTCTCCCTGGCTTCCTTTTATAAAATCCAGCCTCTTGTAACCTGCGCGGGGGCTCCCAGGTTGACCTGCTGTCCTCAATCTCCCCGTCCTTCCCTCAGGCCACCTGTTCCTCTCAGTTCCTCTAAAGACCTTCTTGCTTGTATGCAACTCCGTTGCTCGTCTAGACTGACCACAATGTTCACGCGTGTCCCTCGGAAGCCGTGTTCACGAGTGTTCATAGCAGCACTGTTCTTCACGGCCAGGGTCCCAGGGCCACCAGGGGAGACTGACACGTCATGGAACGCTGTCATGGAGGAGAACAAGAGGACACGGACAGGCCTCATGACCATCATGCGGAGTGAAAGAACCCAGACACGAAGTGCGGACTGTCAGGGTCTGCTGATGACCCCAGGTGACCAGGCCAGGACAGCGTCAGGCCTTGGTGGCAGGAACATAAGAGGGTGTGCTCGGGTTGTACGTGTGTGGTTATTCACTGTGGCATGATTTCCCAACTAGTCCATTTTCTGGGTGGATGTTCAATAAAGTGGTAGAAAATAACAGGCTGCTCCACCCCTGCCAAATGGCTGCTGGGCCCATTGTTAGGTCCCTCCACCTTCTCTTGGTCCTTCTCTGGTTAACTCCTCCAGGCTGTTCTGATGTAGCTCTGCCCTGCCTCAGCAGGGAACCCTTCCCTGCTACACCACTCAGCTCTAGCTGGGTAACAAACATGCCCACAAACGCAGCATAGTGACTTCAAGCAGCCAGCACTAGCAAGTTCATGGCTGTGTGTGGTGAGTTGATGGGTCTCATGCTGCTGGGAGAAACGTGCACTGGGTTTGAGCAAGTGAGCAACGAAGGCAGGGGATTGTGGCCCGGGGCCCAGCAGGGACACATTCTGTGCAGAGCTTCGTCCATGCCGATCTGATTTAGTGTGTGGTTATGTTGCACTTTATCAATGTCAAAATGAAGATTTGGTGAGCTTGGTCTGACGGTCATAGCAGAATATCCAAAGTAGTTACTGTGCCAGGGCCTGGGACAATCACAGGAGATGAGCATGAATTCATTCTTTCCTTCATTTCCCAGAGAAACTTTGACCAAGGGCTTCCCAAGTGCCAGGTTCCACTCAGCCCTGGAATTCAGCAACGAGTAAGGCCAGCTTGAGGGGTGGTTGGCACTGACAGAGACAGCCCACCCTGCTAAGATGGTAACTCGGTGTCTTACCACAGGCACACAGGTGTTCAGAGTCGTGTGTGTGTGTGTGTGCGCGCGCGCGTGTGTGTGTAGGCTCCAATTCCACTGGGGAACAAGGGCAGGAAATGTCCTAAAAGTAAGTACTGTTTTTTGCGCAGAAGCCCTGTCAGGTATTTTCTGTGTGCTGTTACTAATCTATACGACAAATTATGAGCTCAGCATCCCTGTTGTACTACGTAAATGAGAAAAACAGAGGTTCAGAGAAGTTGAGTCACCTGATCAAGGTCACACGGCAAAAGGAAGATGGCCACAGGTTGACATGCCCTGAGGGTCACAGGCTTCCCAGTCTTGCTCTCTCTGCAGAGGTGGTGAGGCCTGTGTTGCCTTGAAAGAAAAGCAGGTGTTTACCTGGTGGGCAGTGGTCCAGGAGAGGGGAGGGCAGGGGAGGGCCAGCCAGGCAAGCAGAGATGCTTGGTGCCTCTGCCTGGTACCAAGCGTGGCCAGGGCCAAGCACACGAGCTGGAGAGTGAGCCTGGGGCACCTGGTGTGGGCTGGGGGGAGGCCATGGGATGCGCATCAGCAGGGCCATGGTCAGCTGCCTTCCAAATTCAGCTGTCTGGAGCCCACTGTCCCCTAGGCCACCAGTTCCTCAGCTGTAGGGTACAGGTCCTATAACCAGACCAGACAGCCAGTTCAAATCCCAGCTCTGCCACCCATCCCAGACCTTGGGGACATGATGGGACTTATCCAGTAGGTGCCCGGCGTCTTGTGAGCTTGAGGTTAGTCATAAGTGAGGTGGGTTTTAAATGAGGTGGTACAGCCTGAGGACTGTTCCTGGCACATAGTAGGCATGCAGTAAAGCCCCCTCACCGTCCCTTGGCATCTGACGAGCCCTGCAGCCTGGTGTCACCTGGCACAGTACAAAGGCCAGACCCGAGTGAGGGCGGGTCCTGAGGTCTCTAGGGAGCTTGGTATCTCATTTCCGTGGTGGCCTCTGGCCCAGGGGAGCTGTGGCCAGGGTGCCCCTCTTGAGCTTGGTTCTGGCAGAGAGGAAGGAACTACGTGGTCTTGGTAGCCAACCACATTTGGGGGGTGCTGCTTGTTTCACCAACAAAAAAGTATTTGCAACATAGGTGACAATTTAGCAAGGCCGTGTTTGAGCCTCACCGTCCTGTGGAGCATGATCTCTCCTGAGGCCACCATGCTCCCACCCACATGTGGCCACATGTGGCCACATGTGCCCACCCAGGGCGTGGTCAGAGGTACAGCGGTGGACCCAGCCTCGGCCAGCGGTTCAGACTGGAGCAAGGTCAGTGGGAGGCCAGGGCTCATCTGGGCAGGCCCTGCCCTGCCCGCTCCTGCTGCTCCAGAGGCCTGGATGTGGGAACTGGCCCTGTCACTAACCAGTCCCTGTCCTGACCCAGGCTGGTCACAAGTCCCGGATGGCAGTGGGAAGAGCAGGTGGGAAGGAGGCAGGTTGGGGGACAGTAAGAGGGCAGGACAGCAGGGGCCCAGCCCGATCCCTGCCTAATTTGCTGTGAGACCCTGAAATCCCTCTGCTCTTGAGCATGGGACTCATCTCTTTCCTGAACAGGACATCCATGGGGATGTGGCCACTCTCTGTCACAGGAGCATCGTCTGCCCCGGGGCTGTGTCATTCCAGAAAGCACCCGCCAGATCGAAGACAGTCCTGGTCCTGTCAGCTGCCCTCCATCTGCCACTGCCCAAGCTGGAACTTGACCTCCAGGCCCCACACTCATGGGGAGGGACCCTGCTCCTGCCCGGCACCCCCAGCAGGAGAACCTCTTCCCGCTCCTCCACCCCAAGAACCCAGCGCCACTGACAGAGTGGAGCAGGGCCTTGCAGACTGACCTGGCCAAGCCCCGGTTCTGCCTCTTCCCGGCAGGATGTGGTGTGATGATGGACAGGACTTCCCAGAGCATCCTGTCCCACCGCACACCTGCCCTGGATTTCTCATGGCTCAGTTGAGATGATGGGGGGACACAACATGGGCAGCAGATGGGGAGCTGCTTGACCATGCTGACCAGGAGGACGGGTGGGCGGGAAGTTGCTTGATTTGGGAGGGAACTGGAGGGTCCAGGGAGCAGGAAAGGGAGCTCAGATGCCTAGGCCAAAACGAGAGCAATGGGTTTGGAAGGACGCACAGGCCCCCCAGCTGCCCAGATGCTCCCCTGTCCTCTGCCCAAGAAGCGCCCCCATTTTCCCAGGATTTCCCCTCCTCCCCTCTCCCTCCCTCTCCCCGGGTTCATTCTTTCCTCTCCTCTCCTGACCTCCCTCACCAACGCTCATCAGCACCCGCTGGTACCAGGCACTGTGCTGGGCACGGGTGAGCCCACACCGGTCCACACATACGCAGTGTCCGGGGAAGCAGGAGAGAAAGATAAGGACAGTTCAGCATGGAATCCACCCACCACAGTGGGGTACGCGCCGTGGGGAGAAGGGCAGGGGCTGTGGTTCTCTCTTGGCCACATGACTTACTTCAGCCAGTGGACATTAGCAAAAGGGACACATATGGGGGCCTAAAAAGCCCTTGTGCATGCAGACTTCTGTCCACTTTGGTGGCTTTTGGGATTCTGAGACCATCAGGTGAAGAGCCCAAGTGAGCTGCAGGAGAGGCCACCTGACGTGCCCAAGTTGCAGATGCCAGCTTTGCACACGAGGCCATGCCGGGTCACCCCACCCGTGCACATGTGCGAGTCCCTCTTCCTACCCAGCAGCAGCAGCAGCAGCAGCAGGTCTTTGGTAAGGAAGTCGGCGCAGACCTCGCCACCATGGAAGAGTGGACCTCCACCAAAGGTCCCACTTTGCTTTTACAGCTAGCGATTTGCACGCACCCACGCTTGCTCCGTTACTGAAGATGCACACTTGTGACTAGCACACGGGAGCACATCACGCGAGGGGACTCTGTGGTTCATCATATACCCCAAGGTTTTAGTGTTTAGGGCCTCAGTTCCAGAAAAATCTAGAGCCCCTTTCCTGACCACAATCCCATACTAATGGGCTCCTCCTACGCAGGGTGCCTTTGCCAGCACCACCCCAGGCTCTGTGGAGGGACAGAGGTCACCACTCAGCAGCAAAGGCTGACTCCCAGCTGCAGATGTCCTGAGAAAGGGCGACCTCTTCCAGCCAGGCCATGTGGCCACAGCTTGGTCACACTCCCCATTAAAATCCATGTCCCTCCTAATCAGCAATGACCGGGGATTGTTTCTTAAATGCTGCTAAATAGAGTGACGGATCCCAGGCGAGGAGGCAGGGGTCTTGCTAATTCTCCTCCACGTCGTTCCTCAGCCCGTAAGGGTTTCTGGCAGCAGCTGCCGGTGAGAAGATCTGCTTCCTGCAGGTGGCCGATGGGCCTCTGGGAACCTAGCGCTCTGCTCATGCTGCCTGTGATTTCCCTTTGATTGTACACGTCCCGTGGCCTTCAGAACCATTATTTTTAAAGAAAAGCAAAAATTAAATCCTCATACTTCTCTGGAAGAGCAGGAGGGAGGCCATGTCCCAGCCTCTGGTGTCTTGTTCACCCCCAAATGACTTCAAGTGAATCCAAGTAATTCAACTCAGAGACAAAGCAGACCATGTGTAGGACCTGGAGAGCGTAAGGCACCTGAGGAATTCCACAGGGCCCCACGGAGGGCTGGTGGCCCCAGAGGACTCTGCTTGCTGGGATTGGACTTCAGCCCGTGAACTGAGTTGACCCCCTGGTGCCCACAACAGTGGAAAATTTTAGCTTTCCTAAGGTGTTGCTCCCAAGAGCACCAGTGGGGACTAAATGACAACCAACGCCCACAAGTCGCCCCTCTTCCCTTGGGGAAGGGAACACCTCTGGGCTCAGACCAGCAGCCTCAGACATCTAGTCCTTGTCCGGTTCCAACTTCAGGACCACACAGTCCTGGACCCAAGGGAGGCTCTCACTGCACGAGGGACACCTTACAGGCGGGACCTTCTGCCCTTAGACAGGCACACACTGGCCCCAGATCCGCACCATGATACAGATCATTGTCTCCACTCCACAGAGGAGACTGAGTCCCCACAGAAGGAAAGCATCTTGACTTTTCCTGCTTGACACCGATCCCCACTCCTCTGAAACAAGAATCCTGACTTTGATTGGAGGAATGGCCTCTTCTTTAGTTTAACTGGTGGGACTGTCAATCCAAGAGCCAAGAGGTGAATCTGGGACCCAGCTCAGCTTATCAAAGGCTCTCCCTCCATCCCCAGAGGCTCCATCTCTAGCAGAGGAACAGAAGCACCAACAAGGGCAGAGGCTGATTGGTCCCCGACAAGGATGTAGAAGGAGTGGAAGACCCTCCTGCAGGACCCTGTGCCAGGCAGCCTTATCCTGCCTTCGGAGCCTGCTCCATCTGAGACGCTCTTGGGCCTGCCCTTCCCTGGTAAGTTAACCAGATCCGTTTCCGTGGCACACACCCACCAAACTCTGACCCAGGAAGTGATTGCCTAGGGTCATCACGCTGATGAGGGGCAGAGTCAAGATGAGGATCTACATCACCAGGCTCGCAGGCCTGAGCTGGTCCCACGGTGCCACAGGACTGGCCTGGGGGTGGCCTGCCACAGGCAGAGCCTTCTGAGTGGGCTGTGGGCATCAGCAAAGGCCTGGTGACGAGAACACACTGGCTGTGGCGCCCGCGTGGAGTCCCTGTGTTGAAGCTGAGCTTGGAATCCATCCCGCAGAGGCTCAGTACAGAAGCTGTGTGGGACCACGCGCCTTCTTTGGATGTCACTAATGGGATAACTTGATTTTCCTGTCAGCAAACTACTCTTGCTATTTTAGCCTTCAATCCATCACATATTTTTTTAAAGCAAAGGCAGAGGAGTTCCTGAAGCCAGCTCCTTGTTTACTTAATTAGGTGCCATATTGACTGGATCCCACGGTCTGTGAGGGGCCAGTTCCTTCCCATCCCTCCTGCACAGACTTGAGGGGTGTGAGGGAACAGAGGCCCGGCTGGGGGTCCTGGTGTCTGCTGGGGGTCTCATGGCAGCCCATGTCACTCTGGGGTCACCGCCAGGCTCCAGACACCAGCAGGGCACTTGAGCTTGGCTCCGGGTCCTGCTTCCTGCCAAAGTCCCCTTTGCTTTGTTCCCTTCCCCAAAACGAGGGCCTCCCCCTGACACATCGATTAGGGTGGTGGCCTCTGAGCGGCGTCCAGATGGGCACCTCTGCCAAGACCTGGCTGTGGCCGGTGTGACGCGGAGCCCTTGTGCCACGGTGAGTACCTGCTGGTCTCCGCCTTCGTGGTTTTCAAGGCCCTCTGCGTCTTTGTTCCCAGAGACATTTCCCAGACTCCCCTCCGCTTGTCTCGGGGCCAGAAGTCGGCCTGAAGTCTCTATCGTGATAAGTGTAGCCCCTTGGCATTCTCTGCCCTCCCGCCAGTCCTGCCGTGGGCCACCTCACACCCGTGTCAGAAGTGGCCCTCTCCCGGCCACAACTGCAGCCAATTTTCGGTCATTGGTGGCATTTGCCGGGGAATTCCTGCCTGTCGCAGTGGCGGCACAAAGCCACTTTGATCTCCACCCGTCTCCATGAGACACAAAATACTGTTGTCATCTTCAATTACTCCAAGGGACAGAGTGGCCTTGACCTTGCCTCCAGACGTCCTCGGCCCACAGAGGCACCAGCTGCCATGGAGGAAGCCTGGGCCCTGGGCGAGGGAGGCGAGGGACACTATGGCACAGGCGGCTGCGGAGCTGGGGCTTGGGGGCCTGCGTGAGCAGCCCTGACTAGTGCAGGCCACCGGCTCCCCGCTGTGCCAGGCACGTCTCTGCTCTCGGCAGCTCCTCTGCAGTGTCATGGAGGAGGACACTGGGGCCCAAAGACAGTCGCGCAGCAGGTAAAGGTGCCAGGGGAGCGGGAGGTTGAAGCCCAGGCCTGTCCGGCTCGGACTCAGCAGCCTCCTCGGCGTCCAGCCCCCGGATCTGTGCGCGAGATGCCAGCTCCCTGAGGACGGAAATCGGATCTCCTCCTCCCAGCCCAGTGCAGAGCCAGGGCCCTCAGCCCAGCGCCAGCCCGTGGCTGTCAGTTCCTCTGTCTTTGCTGTCCTTGGTGGTCTCGTCCAAGGTCAGGGCTTTGATACATTTGCTCTGCACTGACCATGCTCACGTTGACATCTCCAAGATCCGGCCACCTGCTTGACATCTGGCAGGACTTCCTTCCCGGTCTGACCTCCTGGCTCCCCCAGCACCAGCTCCCACAGTCTTCTAGATCTTGGGGGTCTCTCCCTGCAGTCGCTCGGGCCACACACCTCGGGTCCTTCTTGTCTTTCTTCATTTCTCTCCCTTTGCATCTTCGCTCCAGAGGGCGTCCGCTCAGCCCAACAACAAAACCCATGATCCCACCGCTTGTCCCCACCTTTGCTGCTGCTGCGTCTCTCTCTGGGCTGGTGCCTAGCTTCCTGCCCGGCCTCGCTCCCTGCTGCAGTTACGCTGATCCCACAGCTGGATGGATCCAGTTAATAGTTACACGCTGCTGCTTTTCTGCTCCAGTGCAAAGGTTGCACCTTCTCTCCCCTGGGGGGGTGTGCACTGAGGTCCTTGACACTAGGCCTGTCGTCCATGAGAGGAGACTGCTGGGTCCACGGAATGCTAAAGGACCCTCGCGTGGCCACGGAAGCAGGAGATTTCACTTCCCCCAGAGGAGGAGTCCTTGGTGCCAACTGTGAACCTGGGTCTACCTGTTGTGTTGTCCTGAGGCCTGCAGACGGTGCCTGCCACACCGTGAGCTCCAGCCACGCACCCGCTCAGCCACCAGACCTTCCCTACATCCCCGACTGCAGGCCCTGGGCAGGTTCCCAGATGTAGCCTGGGACTTGGCATTGTCATATTCTGCCATTAGGAAGTGCCCTCGCCCAGGGGATGGACAGCGAGACAGACCAGAGGCTCCTGGGAGCAGCACCAGGATTATTATTTTTCCTTATCATTAACAATAAGTACCTGTGCCAGCTTCTTCCTCATCCCTCAGCACAGACTCAACGATGAGATGGTTTTTAGAATGGGCGTGAATTAAGGAGGGTCCCTGTCCAGCTGCAAAGAGCTCAAGTCCACAGAGGTCAGCTGCCCTAGCCCCCTCCCTGGGCTCTGGGTCCCATGGGTGTCCGTGGATGATCTCACTCCCCGAAACCCCGGGATCCTGCAGGTGCTATGGTCCTGCTCACAGACCCAG